GCACGAAGTAAAGGAATCGCTAAGGTGGTGGGGAAGCATCCTCACCTTGGAACGAGGAAGAAGTTGGAGGCTGGCCAGCCCAGTGCGGATCACCACGGATGCAAGCATGACTGGTTGGGGCGCCCATATGGAAGACGGCCTGGCCCAGGGCACGTGGGGTGCAGTAGACTCCAGCAGGTCGTCAAATTACAGGGAGGGAGCTGTTGGCAGTTTTCAAGGCACTTACGACCTTTCAGGAAAAGATAAGGGGGAGAGGTGTCCAGATTCTCTCCGACAATACCACTGCAGTGGCGTATTTGAACAGGCAGGGAGGCACAAGGTCCCCAAGGCTGATGGAGTTGGCCGGATCCCTCCTGAGCTGGGCGGAGGAAAACCTGGAGTTCATCACGGCAGTACATCTGAAAGGGGACCTGAACCAGTTGGCGGATCAGCTGAGCCGAAGAGAGGTCATCCAGACAGAATGGTGCCTCAGCCAGTCAGCGTTCGAGCAGATTTGCGCCAGGTGGGGCTCCCCCTCTATCGATCTATTTGCCAACGGCCAGAACACAAAGCGGGAAAGGTACTTCTGCCTGCAGAAGGACCCCAAAAGCGAGGGGATAGATGCGCTAGCCCAGCAGTGGGAAGGAGACCTCCTTTATTATTATTATTATTATTATTACTACGAGTTTATATAGCGCCAAAGGGTTTTGCTCAGCGCTGTACAATAGGGGGGGACAATACATGGCACAGTACAACAAAGACAGACAGCGTACGAGGGGTAAGAGGGCCCTACTCTTACGAGCTTACAATCTAGGAGGGAGGGGGTAAAGGTACAGTAGGAAGTGGCTGGGGGGGATGAAGTGGTAGGAGGAATGAGGGAGGATGGCCGTTAGGTGAGGGTGGGGTAGGCTTCCCTGAAGAGATGGGTTTTGAGGGAGCGCCTGAATGTGAATAGAGAAGGCGACAGTCTGATGGATTGGGGCAGTGAGTTCCAGAGGATGGGGGAGGACCTGGAGAAGTCCTGCAGTCGTGCATGGGAGGAGGAGACCAGGGAGCAGGATAGAAGGAGGTCCTGTGAGGAGCGAAGGGTACGGGTAGGGTGGTACCTGGTGATCAGATTGGTGAGGTAGTCAGGGGCAGTGTTGTGAACGGCTTTGTAGGTCAGGGTAAGGAGTTTAAATTTGATGCGTTGGGCAATCGGGAGCCAGTGGAGGGGAGAGGCAGAGGGGGGTGGCAGAGGTGGAGCGGGTGGTAAGGTGGATGAGTCTGGCAGCTGAGTTCAGGATGGTCTGGAGCGGGGAGAGCCTGCACTTGGGTAGGCCAGTGAGGAGGGAGTTGCAGTAGTCAAGGCGTGAGATGATGAGGGAGTGTACTAGAAGTTTGGTGGTGTCTGGGGTGAGGAAGGAGCGGATCTTGGCAATGTTGCGAAGATGGAGCCTGCATGTGTTTGTGAGTGATTTGATATGCGGTTGGAGGGAGAGGTTCGCGTCAAGAATGACGCCAAGGACTTTGGCTTGCGGGGCGGAAGTGATAGTGGAGTTGTTGGTGATGATGGATAGGATGGGGGGGGGGGTGTGGGCAGGGGGAAAGACGAGAAGCTCGGTTTTGGAGAGGTTAATCTTGAGGAAATGTAGCGACATCCAGTCTGAGATGTCATTTAGGAGGTGAGTGATGCGGGCGGAGATAGTGGGGGTGAGGTGAGGGGTGGAGAGGTAGATTTGGGTGTCGTCAGCATAGAGGTGATAGTTGAAGCCGTGAGATTGTATGAGTTTGCCCAGGGAGGATGTAGATGGAGAAGAGAAGGGGTCCAAGGACAGAGCCTTGGGGGACCCCAACAGAGAGGGGGAGGGAGGGGGGGAGGTGGCACCATTGTAGGTGACACTGAAGGAGCGTCGGGATAGGTAGGATGAGAACCAAGAGAGAGCAGCATCTCCGATGCCAAGGGAGAGTATGCCTTCCCTCCATTCAGACTACTGCCGAAGGTGATACAGAAGATCCGGTTGTCTCAAGCCAAAGTTATTCTGATCGCGCCATTCTGGCCCAAGAGATCTTGGTTCTCCCGGTTGAAGGAGCTCAGTTTAGCAGACCCTTGGATGATGCCACCCACACGCGATTTACTCACCCAGGGGAGGGTGATGCATCCTCATCCAGAAAGGCTGTCCTTAGCGGCGTGGCTTCTGAGCGGGACAGGCTAGCAGAAAAGGGGCTCTCGCAAGAGTGGTCGCCACCCTCTTGGATGGCCGGAAGAGGTCGACGAACGCCTTGTACGACAAGGTCTGGAAGAAGTTTTCCGCCTGGAAGGTCAGAAACGAAGCACCGGGCACGCCCATTTTGCATACAGTTCTTGAATTCCTTCAAGCCGGGGCGGATAAGAATCTGGCCGCCAATACCCTCAAAGTACAGGTAGCGGCTCTGTCGAACTTTCTCGAGCTGAGGTTGGCGGCAGACCCACTAGTAATCAGATTCCTGAAGGCTATCTCCAGGCGCCGTGCCCCGTCCTTGCCAAAACTTCCAACATGGGACCTGGGCACAGTCCTGAAGAGCTTTCAGCGGGGGCCTTTCGAACCGCTGGATGAGTGTTCGCTCAGATCTTTGACTCTTAAAACCATCCTCCTCACGGCACTAGTTTCTGCCCGCAGGGTCAGCGAGTTGCATGCCCTTTCAGTGATCGAGCCGTACTGCACCATCTTATTGGATAGAATCATCCTCCGCACGGACGCGGCCTTCCTACCTAAGGTCGCGTCACACTTCCATAGATCTCAGGAAATAGTAATACCTTCCCTGGAGGCCGATCCGGGCAGCGCGGAGGACTATAGCAGGTTAGACGTTTAGACGGTGTTTGATCACGTACATCGAACGCACAAAGACATGGAGACACTCGTCCCGGCTTTTCGTCCTATTCCAGGGGCCAAGGAAGGGGGACGGTGCCTCCAAGGGCACCATCGCCAGATGGATCAGGGAGGCAGTTTCGGAAGGTTACAAGTCGGCAGGCCTGTCACCACCGCCCGGCCTAAAAGCCCACTCCACGAGGGCCACTGCGGCCTCCTGGGCAGAAAAAGGGGGGGCCTCCCCCGGACAGATCTGCAGAGCCGCAACGTGGTCCAGTTTCGCCACCTTCACTAAGCATTACAGGCTGGATCTGATCGGCAGCAAGGACCAGGCATTTGGCAGGAAGGTCCTACAAGCAGGGTGCCCGCCCTAATGTACGTATTTCTATTCTACTCCTCTCAAGTGAGCTGTCCTAGAAGATGACTCGGGAAAACGCAGTTATTTACCTGTTAACTGTATTTCTAGGAATCTTCTAGGACAGCGTAACTCCCCCCCGATTACTGTTTGATCACACAATTATGTGCAGGTATGTTGCGAACCTATGGGGGATGTCTTTATTACCGGTTTTCTTCTTTGTTTTCTCCTAGGCCTTCGGTCATATTCTTATACTGGGGGCCAATGGGAGAGAGGACGCCTATAAAGGGAAAAAAAGGTGGAGCGGGTGTTTCCTGGGAGGAGCCCTATCTCTCAAGTGAGCTGTCCTAGAAGATTCCTGGAAATACAGTTAACAGGTAAATAACTGCGTTTTAAAGCATACACCACTCCCCTTGTGTCACATGATATGAAGTGTTTGATTGTATACTTCTTACCGTTAATGGGATTAACAAGTTAGCAAGATAGCCTGCGATCTTATTGATAGAAGCCGTTTACTATACACTTTATTGGCTCACAAGTATAAAAAATTTTATATTCAGTGTCTGCAGAAGTGCAAGGAACCTCCACTATGTTTCACTGTTGCCTGCAGCAGACACTCATTATTGTTCCGCTCTCCAGACCATCATGAACAAATTGCCTCCTGCTACAGCCAAATAGTTCAAATTTTGATTCCCGAGTCCACAGCACGTGCTGTCATTTTACTGTGCCCCAGTTCCTATGTTTTCATTCATAGTTGAGTTGCTTAGCCTCATTTCCACATTGGAGGCAATTCTTCCATGAAGACCACTTCCGGACAGACTTCACCGGACAATAGATGGGTGTACCTCGGTCTCACTGGTTTCCACCAGTTCTGTGCTGATGGAACTGCTGGACATCTTTCGAGGTCAAAGAGAAGTAAGCATGATGTGTCTTTCATCTGCTGCATTATGTTTCCTCGGCCAACCACTGCGTAGAGGGTCCTCAATGTTGCCCTTTTCTTTGTGCTTTTTCAAAAAAACTTTAAGAATTGAATTGATGATGGTTTGAAACCAAAGGGCAGTTACAACAAATATTGATTTGATTTAGATTTTTCTTCTGTTTATTCACTTTGCATGTTGTAAATGGATAAAAATAAACAATTAATGTATATATATTTTAAAGCTTTCTTAATTTAAAGTATTTCATCACACCTGCCTAAATCTTTTGCACAGCACCAGGGGTGGACTGACCATTTGGAAACTCGGGCACTGCCCAAGGGCCCGGGGTCAGTATGGGGCCCCATGAGATGCCCCTGGTACCTTTTTCATAGGCTTTATTGAGTTTGGGCAAGGACACAGGGGCCCCATGATCCCCTGTTGCCCGGGGGCCCCATGAGTTGTCAGTCCGCGCCTGCACAGCACTATATATATATACAGTTAGGTTCATATATATTTGGACACAGGCACGATTTTAGTTTTTTTCAGGTATTTACCAAAACATATTCAAGCTATAGTTATATAATGGATATGGGCTGCAAGGGTACGTACATCCAAATTGGAGGAAAGGTTTAGGAATTACAGCTCTTAAGAGTAGCCAAGTAGCCACCCCCCCCCCTTTTTCAGGGGACAAAAAGTTATTTCTTTCTGTGGTATTTTATCGCTTGTGAGTTTTTATTTTTTTGCGCTATTAAAAAAAAAAGACTGACAATTTTGAGAAAACAATATTTTTGACATTGCTATTAAATATGTCCAGTAAAAAAAAAAATCAAATTTCGTCATAAATGTAGACCAAAATGTATTCTGGTCATGCCTTTGCAGAAGCAGTATAGCGTTTACAAATGACGGTATAGATACTGAAATTTTATTTTTACTAATAATGGCAATCAGCGACTTATAGTGGGACTGCGGCAGGCATTCAGACACTGGGGGGAACTGACTTGGTGTCACTGACATCCCCAGTGACACCAATACAGTGATCAGTGCTAAAAAAAAGCACTGACACTGTACTAATGGCACTGGGCAGGAAGGGGTTAACATGAGGGGCTATCAAAGGGTTAACTGTGTGCAGGGAGTGTTTTAGTAGCGGGCGGGGTGTGTGGGCTTTACTGTAATCAAACTGCTCTTGATGGCTGTGTTGTACACAGCCATCCAGAGCAGTGTGCCTGAGCCAAAAGGGAGAAGGACTGTTAATAAACAATGCAGCCCTCCTCTCCGTCGGAGCTCCTCGGTAATCACTGGGCGCTGGCGGGTAATCATCGGGCAGGACCCAATGATTGACAGCTGTGGCTGAGAATGGCGGCACGGGTAGGACGCATGCACGGATCATGTGCACCACCTACCCGGAAATGCAAAATCGTGTGCAGGGGCGAACTGACAACTCATGGGGCCACTGGGCAATAGGGGATCATGGGGCCCCTGTGTCCTTGCCCAAACTCAAAAAAAGCGTATGAAAAAAGTACCAGGGGCATCTCATGGAGCCCCCCCTACTGACCCTGGGGCCTCAGGCAGTGCCCGAGTTTCCAAATGGTCACTCCGCCCCGATCATGTGTATATACATGTATGTGATTTTGCGCACCCCTGCAACCCTGTAGCAGTATGTCTGCTATAGGGCGGCGAGGATGTGGTCAAAGTGGAGATCCCCCTAAAAGGGGAAGTTCCACTTTAAGAGTGGGAGGGGGTACCCGAATTTGACAGGTACTCGCTCCCACTTCCGCTGCGATCGTCTAGGCAATCGGAAGCGGAAGTTGTCCTCACCTCCTCCCTTCCTGTAGTCTTCTGGGACACGTGACAGGTCCCAGAAGACTGTGGAGCCATTCACAAAGCGCAGCGCTTCTCATGCATGCGCAGTGGGCACCCGGCTGTGAAGCCGCAAGATGTCACAGCTGGATGCCCACAATGAAGATGCAGGCACCAGGGAGAGAAGAAGACCAGTGAAACCAGAGGTGGTGAGGACACCGCAGGAGGTGGCTGTATTGTAAGAGTCAGCAGCTACAGTTTTTGTAGCTGCCGACTTTTTTTTTTTTTTTTTTTTTTTTAGGTGGAACTCCGCTTTAAGAGCATATTACAGTAAACAAGTGAGCAGCACGCTGGCAGGTGGAGGATCACAAGTGGTGTTTATCTTTAAGCTGAAGGTTTCGGGTGGATTGATCTAGGATTGAAGAGTTTTTTCACAATAGGCTATTTTGAACAATATATATATTTTGTTCACTTTTTTTTGTACCTACGCTGTTTGATAGTTTTTGGGTTATTGGTGAGGTGCTCAGCTGGGTGTTTACCTTTTTTATGTTTGCGATTTGTTTATGCAATATATTTATTTAACCATAGAACGTGTATGATCATATAGTTGTTTATTAGCTTTTGTATACACTATTTTATCATCAAGGAGAGGGGCTCAGCCAGGGGTTTACTTTTTATTTTTCATCTATTGAATTATTCACTGCTTGTTGGATATGTTTTCACATATTTATCATTGCAATTAGATCATTATTATCTTTTAAAGGAGTAGCACAGCATCAATTTAAGTTTATATTACATCTTGATTGATGGAGGCTTCACCTCCATGTTATTCTAAGACACAGGCTGAAGGCCCGTGGTACAACCTGTGACTGGCAGAAATCTGCCCACACCATGTTATTGTCAAAAAAATAATAAAGATTTGATTTCAAGTATATATTTGTATGGTAAGTTTATTGATATTATTTATTTCTACTCTGTATTCCAAAGGCTTTTTTTTTTAATTTTGGAACATGTGACCAGTAGCAGAGGACTAGAAGCTCCTCCTGCCTATGTTTTCCTGCAGACAGTCTGGGAAAGAGCTAGGTCACGTGACAGCTGTATATCGATTAGGATAAAGGAAGTAAATTTTTTTTTTCTATTAAAATAATTACAGAGTCATCATCCATATACAGAAATAGAGTTTCTTTTTATTTTGGAAAAAAAAAATATTTTTTTTAAATTAAAGTAATTACAGAGCCATCATCCATATACAGAAATAGAGTTTCTATTCGATTTGGAAAAAATTACTTTTTTAAATTAAAATAATGACAGAGCCATCATCTATTAACAGAAATAGTTTCTATTCGATTTTGGAAAACAAATATTTTTTTTTTTTTAATTAAAATAAATACAGAGCCATCATCCATATACAGAAATAGTTTCTATTCGATTTAGAAAAAATTACTTTAGTTTAATTAAAATAATTACAGAGCCATCATCCATATACAGAAATAGAGTTTCAATTCGATTTGGAAAAAATTACTTTTTTTTTTTTATTAAAATAATTACAGAGCCATCATCCATATACAGAAATAGTTTCTTTTTGATTTGGAAAAAATAACTTTTTTAAATTAAAATAATGACAGAGCCATCATCTATTAACAGAAAAAGTTTCTATTCGATTTTGGAAAACAAATAATTTTTTTTTTTTATTTAAAATAAATACAGAGCCATCATCCATATACAGAAATAGTTTCTATTCGATTTGGAAAAAATTACTTTTTGTTTAATTAAAATAATTACAGAGCCATCATCCATATGCAGAAATAGAGTTTCTATTTGCTAAATATTTCAAGAAAAGATAAATATGATTGATATCTATCGCACATCATAATGCTTTATTTTCCATATATATACGACTAAAGGCTCAAATTTCACTTTGAGTTTAATAAATACTGATTCACTCAATTTCTTGCATCACTCTCTTGTTATACAGAATTTTCTTGCTAAAGCCCTATCGGGTCCTCCCTGAGTTTTGTATTCCTTGATATAACACTACTGTAAATAAAAATAATTAAAAATGAAATAATAATTTAAAAAATTCAATAAAAATGTTCTTGTTGAAAGAAAAAGAAAACAAGATATAGAAGAGATAATGTGTGTTCAGGATCACTTTATTTATGCCATTAAATGTGTTCTGTTAAACTAGATAAAACAAAAATACCCTTTTGATCCTGCTAGACATCTTTGAGCGATATGTGAGGGTTACAGAACCCTGCCCCCTCCCCGTGTTATGGAGAAGAGGAGGAGTCCTGTAGTCCTGTTAGTTCTGTTGTCCTGATACAGAAAGATAAGTGAGTGTTGTCACCGAAACACAGGAAGTGTATTACTGGCAGGATCTCTGGGAGAAAATAAAGCTTGGAATAAGTAAAACGAATGCAGACACCACATCTAAGGCCTGACCAGCAGCAACCTATCACATTACTGGAGGTATGAGCTATGAGGGTGTATTCTCAGGACACTGGATGTACAGCTGCTGTAATTTAGCCTTTACAGTTACCTCCCCCTAGGAGGGGCATGGGGAGATGGGCGGGGCATAAAGTCACATGTCTTGTAATCTATGTGTATCTTGAGATATAGATATAGATAATTAGGAGGCACGTGACTTTATGCCCCGCCCATCTCCCCAGCCACCTCCTCACACCCGCCACATGTAGGCTGTGTTTACTAAAGTGAGGGGGGAAGTGTAACCCCGCCCCTTGCCTTTCCATAGCCAACCAGCTGCTTGTCGTAGGCTGATAAATACCCTGCGCACGCCCGGCCCCGCCCTCTTCGCCTTATCGGTGAATACGGCATTCCGCTGCGTGTTCCTGGCTCTGACAGGACGTGCGCGCCGCCGCCACCTCCCTCCTCGCCTTCCCTCACCGCCTGTGCCCGGATCGCGCAATGCGCAGGCTCAGTTCCCGGATGAAGATGGCGGCCGATAAACAGAAGCATCATGACGGGAGGGTGAAGATCGGGCACTACATCCTGGGGGATACGCTCGGGGTGGGCACATTCGGCAAGGTGAAGGGTGAGTAGAAGCTGAGGGCGGCCCGGGGAGGGAGGAGGGGACTCCGGGGTTGTCGTACGGAGGAGGGAGCGCTGTCCGGGGATGACAGACTCCGCTATAGGGAGGGATGGAGGCTCACCGGGGGGGAAAGTGGGAAGGTGTCATGGGTGAATGTACAGGGTGTGACTGGGGGGGCAGGGGGGTTGTCACAGGTGAATGTTTGCCAAGTGTGAATGTTGCCGTGAGTTTCATGATGTGTTGCTGTGGGTGAATGTGATGTTTGCTGCCACGGGTGAATGCTGATATGGGAGTGTGTTGTCATGGGTGATGGTGTGTTGCTTTGAGTGAATGTTGTAACAGATGAGTGTCATCAGTGAATGTGACTGTGCCATGGGTGAGTGCCACGGTGTGTTGATAACATTTCTACAGGTGAGTGTTATGGTATGTCCCCATGGGTGAATGTTGCCATAAGTCAGCTTTGTGATGTGTTGCCATGGGTGAATGTTGGAAAAGACAGGTGTCATGGGCGAATGTTGGAAAAGACAGGTGTCATGGGTGAATGTGATTGTTGCCATGGGCGAATGTGATGTGGTGGTGCCATGGGCGAATGTTGGAGAAGATAGGTGTCATGGGTGAATGTGATTGTTGCCATGGGCAAATGTTGGAGAAGATAGGTGTCATGGGTGAATGTGATTGTTGCCATGGGCGAATGTTGGAGAAGATAGGTGTCATGGGTGAGTGCCACGGTGTGTTGATATTGGTTATAATTTCTATGGGGGTGTGTTGCCATGGGGTGTGTTGCGCAGCAGATGAGTGTCATGGGTGAATGTGTCTGTTGCCATGGGTGAGTGCCACGGTGTTGATGCTGGGTAACATTTCTACAGGTGAGTGTTAGTGTGTTCCCACAGGTGAATGTTGTCATGGGTGAATGCGATGTGTTGCCACGGGTAAATTTTGCGATGGGTGAGTTTCATGTTGTATTGCCACGGGTGAATGTTGCCATAGGTGAGCGTCTTGATGCCATGCATTAATGTTGCAGCAGAGGAGTGTCAGCCCTGGTTCATACTGCCACCCTTCATGTGATTTGACTGTTCAAGTCGCACGCAATCGGCAGCAGGACCGTTCTAATCGGTGCAACGCCGACTGTCAGAGTTTCACTGATTGGAAAAGTGGTTCCTGCACTACTTTTGCTGCTTTGCGGTGTGACGTGCATAGATATCTGTTCATGAAGTCACACACGTCTATGAAGTTGGACCCCAAGTCACACTCATCCAACTTTGAAATCGTGCAACTTCAAGTGAAGTCACACAATTTCAAAGTCTGTCCGGGGTGAACCAGCGCTCACGGGGTGAATGTGATTGTGTTGCCTTGCGTGAGTGCCACAGTGTTGCCATTGGTGAATGTAAGGCAGGCCATAGACAGGCCGGTTTTCGGACGATAAACTAAAAAATCGGTCGGCCCCGTTGCTGATGCTGCCACCAATGTCCACGAAAAACGGCCATTTTTTGCGGGTTTTCCAGCATGACCAATAAAAATGAGGAGATCCACGAAAAAAACGGCCGATGGGCTGGCCCCACTAACAGCATGAA